CTACAGGTGCCCGCCACCACACCCAGCTAATTTTTTGTATTTTTAGTAGAGGTGGGGTTTCACCATGTTAGCCAGGATGGTCTTGATCTCCTGACCTCGTGATCAGGCCTCAGCCTCCCAAAGTGCTGGGATTACAGGCGTTGAGCCACTGCGCCCAGCCTATACTGTATTGTTTAGGGAATCATAAGAAGAAAAAAATTCTGCACAAGCTGCAACCATCCTTTTTGTTCTTTTTCAATTTTTTTTTTTTTTTTTTTAACAGTCTCACTCTGTCACCCAGGATACAGTGCAGTGACGCAATTAAAGCTCACTGCAGCGACCATAGCTCACTGCAGCCTCAAACTCCTGAGCTCAAGTGATCCTCCTGAGTCAGCCTCCCAAGTAGCTAGGACTACAGGCATGTACCACCATACCCTGCTGATTATTTTTTTTTTAAATTTTTTGTAGTTATGCGGTCTTGTTATGTTGCCCCGGCTGGTCTCAAACTTCTGGGCTAAAGTGATCCTCCCAAAGTGTTGGGGTTACAGGTGTGAGCCACCGTGCCCAGCCTCTTTTTCAAAGATTTTTGATCCACAGTTGGTTGACTCCGTGGATGTGGAACTCACAGATACAGAGGGCCAACTATATATATAAATGTAACATCTGGGTTAGTGAAGCTGGAGATTATTCAGATGTCAAAACTGAAATTAGAGTAAGTAATTTTCTCAAAGTCACACAGATAGCAAAAGTAAAATCAGGACTTGGCTGTCTGCTTCTAGCCCCGTACATTCCACCTGATCTGCTGCCCTCACTTTTTGCTGCTTGTTTTCTGTTTGTTTTAAAGCAAGGATTATTTCAAAAGTTCAAACTAAGGGACGGAGTTAGTTTCATCCAAGATGTGGTGGATGTGGAATCTCAACAGACTATATAAGCTCCAAGAGGGCAGGACTGTGTCTTATTCATGGTGTGTTCATAGCTGTTCCCTGGGCCTAGCTCACGGTTAGTGTTAAAACATCTGTTGGATGTATGAGGAGCTGGGAGCTCTAGCTTCAAACACTGGCTCCATCACGAAGTGACCATGATCTTGGCAAAGTCTCATTGTTTTTCGTGGTCTAATTTTTGTTTGTTTTTAATCTGTAAAATTAGGTTTCATCCTTCCCTTTTTATAATTAATGAGAAGCAGTCTTGTCATATCTGAGGAATGGAGGGAAGGCATTATATTGGGAAAATCTGAGAAACTGCAAGAAGTTTGGGTGGCAAGGAACTGTGGCACCATGGTGGCAGAGAGCTGGCCTCAGTGAGCAGTAGTGACTCATCTTGGGACTGCTTTTAAGAGGATTTCCTCCTTTGGAAAAATCAAATTAAATCCACTTTCTGACTAGGTAACAAGTGCACGTGCCACTGCAGGGGAACAGTTCTGCCATGGTGATCGCTGGCAACCTTGCACATGGGCAAAGCTTGAGCTGCAGCTGACTGAAGTCTTTATAGGAATGAAATGCTTCGGGATTCATGAGTGTGGGAGGCTGGTGAGGAGCTACTACCAGGCCACTGCCCACTTGCCTGCCTGTCTCCCCCTAGGAGGCTGTCACGAGACACTTCTCTTCACCTCCAGTTCTGATGAGATGGGAGGCTTTCTGCCTCCTCCCCTACACACATGCTGCCCTTACGGCACAGCCTCGTTTTCATTTTTTGAGACAGGGTCTCACTCTGGCACCCAGGCTGGAGTCCAGCGGCACAGCAGCCTCAACATCCCAGGCTCAAGCGAACATCCCGGGCTCAAGGGATCCTTCGGCCTCAGCCTCCCAAGGAGCTGAGACTACAGGCAGGCACAGCTTCAAGCTATAAAACTGCTTTGCTGCAGCATGTGGCTCCTCAGCCACAGGGTATCCTGTCCCTTGGGTTGTGGTCATCCGGCCTCTGTTTCAGAGTCATCTTGAGCAAGGGCCACAGGAAACCAGTACCTTTGGTTGCTCTTCCTTGCACTGTCTATGGAAGTCACACACTGTCTGAATCTCAAAAAGGCTCATTGTTTCTTTACAGGCTATAACTGTTAGGCCTTGCTTATGCTTGACAGGTACAAAATTTTACAGTTACACAAATGGTTTATTTACATGAAAATGCCTCTCACTCTTGTCTCCTAGCCACCAAGTTTGTCTTATCTCTCTATTCCTCCAGGCAGTCACTGCATTCCTTTCAGATCTAGATATCTTTCTACACAGATATGGATATAAAAATAGACACAGATATATTGATACAGATATTCAGAAATAGATATTTCAGGCCGGGCGC